TTCGAGCTCAGCTTGGCAACCTCTCCCTTAGTGCATCGGTCCCTCCTGTTCGAAGTCCTGCATACACTTTCGTGGAACATCCAGTTGTATCCTGCTGTTTTAGTTCTGTAGCTGTCCGTTGGGTTGACTTTGTGCCTTGCAGGATTTTTAATACTTGTATAAACCCGCCATCTGTGATTAGACCTGTACTACTATATGGAGCTGAATGCTTGGCAGTTGGAAAGAGGGAAGAGAACTTGATGAGAAGAACTGAAATGAGGACGTCGAGATGGATTCTGCAGATTTCAATGAAGGATAAGATCAGAAATGAAGAAATCCGTAGACGACGTAGGGTGGTGGATGTGGTTGAGAAGATGCGAGAGGCGAGGTTACGGAGGTATGGACATATCATGAGGAGGGACGTTGAGGAAGTAACAAAGAGGGTAATGGAATTTGAGGTGGAAGGTAACAGGGGAAGAGGCAGGCCTAGAAAGAGATGGATAGATTGTGTGAGAAAAGATATGGAGGTATGTGAAGTGAGTGAGGAAGATGTGCTCGACAGAGACAAGTGGAGAAGAGCAACCAAAGCAGCTGACCCCAGGACAGTCTGTGACTGAGGCTGTGAAGAAGAAGAAGAAGAAGAAGTATAAACCTGCCATCTCCTTTAACATGTGCCCTTACTGTATGATGTACTTACTTACACAGATGTCTATAACCTGGAATTATTCTCATTTCTCTTCAAACTCTTTTATGGGCCATGAAATCCTGTTTTTAGAGCAGTGACTAGAACTGTACGCAACATCTGACTGAGATGTAACTAGTGTGGTGTATAACCTTAACATTCTTTCATTCTTAACACTTGACTGAACAACTCTTATCAGCTGAGCACAGTTTTACATACCTCAAAATACCTGCCAAATTTCCAAATTCTTTAACTAAATTTCATACTTTTTTGTTGTTGTTCACTGCATATAGTGAGCTACAGAAACAAGCCCTTCTTATTACAGGTTACTGTGAAGAGAAAACAACTGTCTCACAGGAGATACCATTGCTAGGATATATGTCACATGACCCATTCACTGCCCAGTGGGTCTTGTACATCTTTTTGATGATTATTGCTCACAATTCTTTATTTCCTGATTGGGTCAGATTATTATTATGATGCATTTTTTTCTGATAACATTAACCATTTGCTGAAAACTCATTTTCACTAAATCCAAGCATTTTATTATTACAAACAAATGTTTTGTCTTTAAGGGAAACAGTTAAGCTCAAGTCAAGTCAAACACGATTTAATAGTTTTCTCATTTTCCCCCTTTTCCCCTGAATAGCACAGTTTTCTTCGGAAAGTAAATAATATAAAAAATAATATATAAGTTCTTCTCTTGTTCAGTAATTCATATGGGAACACCATCTCCTCGCCATATTTTTCACTCTTGCACAGAATGTTCAACACAGAGTTCGTGTCTGCATGAGATTAATTATTTGCAACATCAGAATTCAGTTTCTAATACTTTCCACCCATAAACTTTTCAGTCCACTTTTCCTGACCAGGTTTATGGTTATTTTTAAATGCTCATGCTAAATTAAATTAGAAGCTTGTTCCACGCCTTTTTTTAAAAAACAAGGCAACCATTTGTGAAATGCTGGATGTGCGAATCATTCTATCTCTCTCTACCATAAGGCTAAAGGAAATCTTTCCGAAAGAAATACACTTGTGATTTTTTTGCAAGAAGGTTTTACAGTGTGTATGGATAAACACAGAAACTGAGGTATTTTCTGGGAGGTTCTGACAGGAATCTAAAATTCAAAATGTTCCTCTTGTCCCAGAATAGCCCAGTTCTGGAAATCTGTTTTTTAAACATTTTCAAAAGTATATACTGTAAATTACGTGTTGACCCCAAACCCCACCCTGGACAGGATGCCAAGATGTGGTAGGTCAGACAGACAGACACACACACACACCAGGACCAATTAAAGGGCACCTGCAGGGCAATTTGTATATTTCGGGATTGGAAAGAATCGGTATCGATGAGTCCATTTCAAACCACAGTAAAAGTAAAATCCCCACAGTAACGTGTAAAACCTCAAATTTACGTCACAAAATAGACGAAATTTCCAGGTATGCACAGCGCATGTTCTGCGATTCAGAACAAGGCATCTAAAAAGGCTCTGTTAATGAAGTATAAGTTTTATCATGCTGATTGACGACTTTAATTGATTTGCTTACTTGTCTGGTCTTTTGCTTAACTTGTATTAGCACTTGGTCTTGAGTTTCAGACGTTTCCTATTTCAAGTGTACCGTTTCTACAATTTAAGCAATCAAAAAATGAAGCATTTTTTAAACAAATCATTTAAAGTATTTTAATTTAATCCTTATTTCTGACTAAACAGCTATTAATGGGTGACTTATCTGTGCTGAATAGACACAGGTGGGACACTGCGTGTTTTTGTTCCTTCTACGGAAGTCATTGAAACTTTCACAGGTTGGTACAGGGCTGATAGCAATTACTAAAACGATTGAACCTTTTAAGAGCTGAAAACCAAGTGAAAAATGTGTTCCGTTTACGGAGTTGAAACGGTTTAGTCTGTAATTAAAGACCGGAACAAATAAAATGAAGAAATGGGTGTCCCTAAACACCAGGGTCAGCAACCCCCGAATTAAAGGATTTGTCTTTTTATCTTTTCGCTTTTGCTCAGTCAGCGAACGTGATGCTCAGACCGAAAGAGAAACGGGGTGGACACAGTCTTTCACGAGTGACCCCTTTATTCGTGGCTTGCAGGTCTTTCTGAACCCCGTAGCTGTTCGTCACCGAGCACACATACTTCGGATCTCGTGATATTCACTGGACTCTTATCATGTGGCACCAGGTTTCCCTGGAATAAACTGGTAATGAGTTGACTGCAGTCTGTCATTAACCAGTTCAAGTCTTTTCTTTGTTGCAGCCTTGCAGTGGCTGCCTGTGTTATTTTCCTGCAGGATTAAATAGAAGTCATACAGTCCCAGTTCGAAAGAGAAAAGGCTGTCTGGAATGAAAACCATCCTGCCTCAGCTGAACCCTGAGTCTAGTGTTTTCTCATGCAACATGTATTCCTTGTTAATTACCCCTCCATCAATGCCAATTTGTTTGGCATTGATAGAGACCAAATCGCTGTCATCCTCAGTGGCATCATATTCATATTTGAAGACTGTTATGCAGCATTTTAAGAAGAAAATGCACTCGTGTCAGTTTAAGTATTGTTTTTAGTAAACAAAGTATTAACCAATAATACTGTAAGCTACATTCCATTCATTTACGGTTTCCAGACACTCAAATGTAAAAAAGTATGGCCACTTTGAAAAGCTGCCTTCTGCAGGACATTGCAGAGGGACTGACGTGGAGCTAATAAATCACCTGTTTCATGGAAAATAAACACAAGTCAAGTATGTTATCCACAAGGTTTCGAACGTTAGTATAAATTTTGGACATGAGAAATGGGAGAGTAAGTAAACCTTAGGAAGGTGAATGAATGTCTTTATCTTGAAGATGCGCAAGTTGCCGTGGCAACACCTCCATGAGATGCCTTATCTGCTCAACATCTTCATCTTTGTTTTCAGGAATGTAGTTTTCAGGTCAAGTAGTTCAAAATATTACATATCACCTGGGAGTACTGTCGAGATTGATTAGTTAACTTTAAAATGATTCATTTTCTTTTGTGGATGTCACTGACAGAATGTCAGTACTTATTTTCTGAATTTGTGGGCGGGCTTAATTGATTTTCTGCATGCACTGAATAAGGAGGTCAAGTAAGAATCTGCAGGAAGGCGACACAAAATATATAATTGGGCAGGACATTGCGGTTTTCTTATCCTCTAATGGCTGCCAACCATGGTAACCTTCTGCATGAGTGTTGTGAAGTGGGTGAGGTACTTCAGGCCTGAAACCCCTAAGATTTTTCACATCCTCTCTTTCTCAAGATGTGCTTCATGGCTCATGTACACTGCTGACACTGCAGGGGAGGGGGGACAGGATAAGTACCTTAGTTATACTTACTATAAGGGAGTCCTGAAGACATAAATGATGTTTTTTACAGTTCCTATGTTTGACAAAACTCAGTGACTGTAGAAACGCATGCACAGGTGCTGTGAATTGCTATGTACTGTAAGTGTAATATTTTTCATACCTGATACTGTTGATTTTTTTGGTCTTGATTATTGGCTTTTTATTGTAATCCTTTGTACTTTTAGATAGAAAATAACAGAAATGTGACTGAACTTAGTGTCTGTAAGGGGCTTTTGCTTTCTATAAGTCTTTATTTTTGTCCAATAAATCCTATGACTTGCGATTAACTACCAGCTTTTAAGAAAGATGTGTTTGCTGGCCACAGATAGCAGTCTCTCCTGCCTGTTCCCACAAAATAGAATTAGAGATTATTTTGTGAACATTTTCTCAGCTTTTAATCTTGAGATCTGTTGGGGTTTTTTAAAAGTGGGAAGAATTTCAGTCCATTTTCTCTCTGTCTTTGATGATGTCAAACGGGGTGTATCAAATGATCCACGAAGAAGATCAGGTATGAATGAGAAATGAAAATGTTTTTTTTTGCAGCAGTTGCTGTAACAGTGAAAGGAAACATCTTCAGTGGGAATTTATGCTTGCAGGCAGAGCAAAGTAAACCTTCACCTCACATCACAGGCAAGACAGTAGCAGTGTGAAGGAGATTAGTAGTTTAATCCGTTCTTTATTTCAGCAGATTACACATTTCCTCCTGCAGTGGGTCACGTGACAATATGAGAAATAGCCTTTACGAACCCTGCACAGCAGATCTCAAGATGGGGAAAAATGTGGACTCGTGCAAGAATAGGTCTATGAGAGCTTGATGCATTTGTGGTCCAGTTTTTCTTTATATGTGCTTTGATGAAGTTTGAAACCGGGCCTGGCAGGAAGCCCGCGGTGACCTTTAGGATTACAGTAAACCCTGAATCTCATTCCGATGAAGCCATAGTGTGAAGGTAACTTATTAACGAAGAGCCTTCTCAGCCTCTATGTCATGTGAACCCGCAGTCTGCAGGCACACACAGCTGCGGCGCGGACTGCCGGGTCTGCAGGAGACGGAGGAGGAGGAAACCGGGCTGTTTTGTTGCTGCTTGGGGATCGAAGTCACGCGAGGGCAGGGGCATAGGCATGGATTTCAGCAGCACAGAGACTCCGGAAGATTACAAGTCACCTTTTAATTTCGAGCGAGGCGTGAATACGAATTACCTGTATCTCTCTCCCAGTGACAGCGTCACTCCCCCTGGGTCGCCAGTTTTTTCGGCCAAAGGTAACGACTTCCAGCCTCTGTGCTGTTTGCATTGGCTCTCTCCTGAACCTGTTGAATGGAACGTGCTGCACGAGGAGCTGCTCTCCGGTGCAGAGCAGCCTGGGCTTTCAGGAATGCACCTTGTAAGGATTCAGAGAGCATTCTTAAATTCGGCCTGTGCTTTATCTGGCATGAGAGTTTAGGACTGAAAGGCAGGTTTAGTCCTTGAAAACAGAAGTAACACAACTGGAAAGGCCCACTAAATAAACAACGGGTTTAGCCTAGACCTGCAGCTGCTTATGGGTGTGAATCAACGCTCTTGATAAAGGCTGATAAAGGCAGGCAGGGAAAGTGTTTCAGATCTGCCTGCTCGGTCTCCCTGCATGCTGGACTAATTAACTCACCTGCATGTATTTTATACTTCAGATGTTGTATAAAATTCATTTTCTTGCTGTTCTTTTAAGGGTCCTGTCAACGCCAAAAAAAAACACTAGCATTTGAGAATGCAGATCTAATTTTTCTCAGGGTTACCGAGGATTGGAATGTAGTCCTGCTTTTCCTCAGTGTTACTATAGAGGCTACTGGGGAAGAGTCATAATGATCATAATCTAATCCTAATCGAGTAATGCTGAAAGGAATTGTTGTAAAACTTGCTTTCATTCCACATGACTGGTAAAATATATTGCATTCTGAATACAACCAATATCCCTGTCCTACCTCCCATCAGTGAAAACTGTACTGTTTATTGTAAAGTAATACTGTATTCATGCTTTTAACTATAATGTTGTGTATCACTTGTGTTGGTCCTTACAGTACTACTAATATGTTGCATATTGTTTTAAATGCAGTGTTGGCAGCTCTACCTACAGTGCAAATGGTTCCTTGCAAAACTATTCACACCTTTCCTGTGTTCTCCCATTTTGATGCAAGTGCATTTTTTAAACTTAATATTTTATGTATAACCTCAATGCTCAAACCGAAAACGTGAATTTAAGTGTAAGAAACATTACTGTAAATATCAGCAAAAACAGAAGGAAACTAATCGGATGTGTGGAACGCAGCATTAAACGGGAAAGCCTTTTTACAGCGATTGCAGTTGAAGCTGTCTTTGGGGTCAGTTTCTACCAAATCTGTGCACGAGCTTGGTGCAGGTTTCACTCTTTCTCTTCGACAGATTTGCTCAGGTTCTCTCGAGTTGCTTGGGGATCCCTTGTGGGCAGCAGTTTTCAAGTCTTTTCGCCGATTCTGAATAGGATTTTAGGATTCATGTTCCTCAGCCACTCCAGTGTGGTTCTGGCCTTGTGCTCTGGAGTATATTCCTGCTGATGGATCCTTGTGCCAGTTTTAGCTCTGAAGCAGTCAGGCCACTCAAGGACGTCCACTTTGTTATTCTTTGTCACCTCAGTGTAGCTATGGCCTTGTTCTAGTGTTCACTGTCCTGTCGAAAGGTGAGTTTATATCCCAGTTCTAGTCCTGAAGCAGGTTTTTGTCTACAACTTGCCATCACTTTGCTCCATCTGTCTTTTCTTCCTGTGTTCCATCCTGACAAAGTCCCAGTCCTTCCTGACGAGGGGCGGGTCTATAACATAATGCTGCCACCGCCGTGCTTGATACTGGGGATGGTGTCGTTGGGATTGTGTCAGATGTAACTCTTTGCATTGAGACCAAAAAGTATCCAGTTTTGTTTTGGCTGACCCCAAAAGCTTTTGCCACGGGTTTGAGGTACCATTTAAGTGCAAACCCCATGGCAGGATTTGAGATTTTATTTCAGTTCTAGTGACTGGGATTTTACTGATCAATGAACGTTTCGCTCCATCTCAGCCACTGAGCTCTGCAGCTCTTTCCCAGTTGCTATCGGCCTCACAGTGGCCTTCCTCTCTGGTTTCATCCCTGTCCAGCTGCTCAGGTTTGAGGGACAGACTGATCTAGGCACTGTCTGGGTACCAGCCTCTTCCTAATGACCAGCCTCACCAGGCTCAAACAGGTATCAAAGGTCTGTGAAACGTTTTTGTATCCTTCTCTTGATGTGTGCCTTTACACAACTTTGTTCCAGAGTTATTTTAGAAGCTCCTTGGTCTTCCTTGGTCCTTAGGCGTATCTTTGCTTGAGATTCACAATCTAACTGAGAGACTGTAAGGAGATAGATGTGTTTATCCTGAAAACACTGTTAATGCACACAGCCAGAGGCCACTCAACTGCATGGTTCATTAAGGTAATTTTGTGCTCCTGCATTAATTTCGATGTGCCACAGCAAAGAGTTTGAATATTTAGGCCATCATAAGTTTTCCAGTTTTCTTTCATGCTAATTACCCGTTCACTTCTTTTTGTTTTTTGCTTGGAAATGTGCAGAGTGTGGAGTTGTTTGTGTACTATGCATTGCCACATCAAAAATCACCATGACTGAAATCTTTAAAGCAACAAAATATTAAAGAATGCAAGGCTTTCTGAACAAGCCACTGTATTCCTTACTGCACAATAGATCAAGAATTGCAAGAATATCACCAACATGAAGATACAGGTGTCTGCATGCCCCAACAGATAGTGGAATTCATATGGATAATAGTTCTCACACATATAACAGAAGTGTCAGTAACTACTGGTATGTGTCTGAGTTGTAATCTTTCATGTTTGTTGGGATCTTGCACAATCAGTAATCTTACAATCAGCTTTGCCTCCTTCGTCTCATTTTTCCCTTCTACCACTTTTAATCTTTACTTAGAAACTGTTTCTATCCCACCCTATCAATAAACCTTCAACCCTATCACATGCTGCGTAAAAAGAGCAAAAGAGCCTAGTTTAGTTTATCACCACTGGTTTCCTGTGGCTCTGCACTTAGGTCACCTGATGCTGACTTACTTTGGATGCATGTTATTTTTTTGCAGCTCCTCGTGCTTTTGTAAGGGAAGACCAGACTGTATAGAAGTGGTGGATAAATCCCTCTCTTCTTGAACATTGGGCTTGTAGACTCTTATGTTTAGTCAGATTCTAGAAATGAGTGACAATTACTTGGTAGAAAATCTAGCTTTTTAACTAGGCTTTCATTTAGTATAAACCATGACTTTTTTATTACATTTTTCCCATTTTTATTGAACTGATTTTTGCTTGTTTGGGTTAAACAGCCAATTTATTGTAGTGGTTTAAAAGCACCATGGTTCCTCGGTGACTCAGCCTAGGAGCACCTGTTGTGAGCTAAGGCCCAGATGTCACAGGTTCGAGTCAGGGCAGAATGACTAGTGGAACGTGTGGTATTCCCAAATAGACAGAGCATCACCAGGGCAGAGTGGGCAGGTTAATCTCCTGGGATTTGCCGAAGGTCCTCTAGGCTCACAATGCTGACAGTAAGCGACTCACTGCTTCTGCGGTTGGTGCCAACTCGCCCTCAATGCACTGTGGACCCTTGCTTAAAAATATGAGTGTTACTGACAGGTGGGCACGTCAGGGTAGCATGAATGTAGGACCTTTCTGGGCAGTCTTGCAAAAAGGCATAAAGCAAAGTCTTACAGGCAGCTGTCAATTTCACAGTGACTGGATAGAGGAAAAAAAACGAATATTTAAATAAAAAACAAAAATCACACAGGATCGCCAGACAGTTATCTGGAATTTGCAATGCACAACCGCCCAGTGACCAAGGTTAGATTTAATTTGGAGTAAGCATTTCATTTTGATATTAGGTACTGCTGCCCTCTGCAAAAACAACAAAACTTGTTTAACATATTTAAAACTAACTAAAATCATCTGAGAACCTTTGTTTAATATTGTTTCCAGTGAAAGGTCGCTACCCATGCCTGAAGTTCAGTAGAGGTCCGGGTTTCAAGAGGGAGAAAGACTGCTCTTGAGAACACTCTGCATGTTCTTTTGCGTCTTTTATCGCACGTGCCTTTCCGTATTGAGTTGATTCTTACTTCAATATTTTACACAGTAGAAAATGCTGGCCCACGTATTTCAGTTTCTCAATAAGATGGAATGATGCCCTTCCAAGTCTTTTACATCGTACAGATCATTTGTACCAAGAATTAGAAATTATCCTGGGCTTTTTTCCTGGCAGGATGTTACATAAATGCTGTGGCTAAATTTAATCTAATGTATTATTAAATAAGAATCATGCATGCAGAAGACCAATTTCCATTTCCAGTTTTCATTTTGCTGAATGCAGTGAATGTGAGACTCTTGTCTCCAGGTGATTTGTGATACAGAAGAGCATATTTCTTGAATATGAGAAAATGAAGGACCATAAAACTGTACTTTTTGTGTACTGTGTCTCATAGACCAAATTTAAAAGTAGTATAATATGTAATTGAACAATCAGCAGATGTACTACACTGGGTGTATGCTGATCTGTATGTGTAACATGCTTAGCAAGTTATCTGGCCTTTTCGTACAACTGTATCATGAAAAAGGGTATGAGGTGTTTAGCAGTGAAACACTAGTGCCCTGTATTGTGTGTTGTGTACTGCAGCCTTCTGGGGAACTAAGTTCAAGAACCCATTCTTAAAGGGTCATACAGACACCACTACTGTGCCCTGAAAAAAAACTTGGCCCTAGTTGGTTCAGTCAACGTAAACGTATATATATGTCCACCAGCTCTGCTGGGTGCTTCACCTTCCACCTTCGCAGCATGGCGATAGTCTAATGTTCTCAATCGTCTTAAGGGGACAAAAAATAGAGGAAGGTCTGGCGTGTGAGCTACTGTACTTATGCACATGGAGGACCTTATATAGTTTTGAAATTCTACAACTGTGTATATAATGTGAGCACATAAAGGATGCTGCCTACTTGTAACAAACCAATAACAAAACCTTCAAGCTGATCTTTGGTTTAACAGGCACAGGAGGGAGTGAGAGGAATGTGAGGGAGGCACTGTCTGAAGAGTCAGGCTTTAGAACATTGTGTCAGCAGGCTTGCCAGATGTAAATTCTCCACTGTGGCCTCTTACAGTCGGCCTTTCCTGGAAAAACACTTCTCCCGAGTCCAGCAGCTTCAAGGAGCAAGTCATGAGGAAGGGTTAGACACTGTGAGCTAGAGACTAAGCCTGGGCTCATATTACTAGTAATTGCGGGACCATTGTCGACCCGGTTATTATGAATGGTCATTAGTTATATCTGTTTGTGAGTGTGGTGACAATCTCTTGGTCGAATCTTCATAAAACCCAACAGCGTTGGTTTTTTTGTGCTGGAATACCAGCCCTGTTTGGAATCAGCCATTGTTTAAGAGCTGACTTTATGGCACTGACTCATTATTTACAGTGAGTGTGAGAACAGCACAAATGTTCCTGTGATACAAACATGGGGCTGCACCTACCCCATCTATCAGAGCCATTCATCTTTAGACAAACGACAAGAGTGTCAGCGCTGACTGAAGGCGCATTTTTCCCCTGACATTGCGACACATCTGTGGACGCCTTGCAAGTTGCTGGAACTGCTGTTTGTTACAGAAAAGCCAAGCAGAAGGCAAATAATGGTTACACAGCAGCATGGTGCCAATAGTGTGGCACCTCTAGTGAAACTAGATTATAGCTGACTATAGTTCTAAAAACCAGGGTTTGCTCTACCTCCTATGAAGTTGCACTCTAGGACTAAAATGGTTCCTGCAGTGCTGTGTTGTGTTGGTGTCACAGATCCATGTTTTTGTTTGTGTTCAATCAGTTTGCTCCGGGTGGGTAATGTGTTTCTCCTGACTCTGGGTTACAGAACCATGTTTGCAGTTGTTGAGCTTAAATACTACTCATGCCTCCTTCTCCTTGCACTAATGAGCAAGCTGTGCCAGATTATTTTGGCTTGCATCCCATTTTAATCAGTTGGCAGCTAAAATCTGTTGATCTTGTTGCCCTGGCATCTGTGAACACAGCGCAGGATTGAGCAATGTGTTGTAGTTATATTAACCCCACTTCCTGGCGAATCTTTTATTCGGAGGTTTATAGCTGGAATGCAGTGCCATTCACCTCGCATTGTTTTGGTTCACCATTTTAAACCTTACCCTCTAGGCCCGAGCTCCTCTTTGAGGGCATAGTTCTGAAAACGTAAAACAAAAGACCGCTAATCCAGGAAAGAGATCACTCGGAATGTAATATGTTTGATTTTCATTGTGTTTTGGTAAAAACGTGAGAAGGGTTACAAACAAGAAGTGTCCTTTTGGCCCCTCTGCCCTGTCTAGTAGCCAGTTAATCAGCTTCAACAGCAAGGCTGGGCTGCCTTAGTACCACCACTTCGTGAGTCAAGAAGTGCCTTTGGGCTTCTGTTTAAAACAACACACTTCCTCAGTTTCCTCTCGTGCCACTTGTATGGGTCAACTTTGTCAGTGCCTTTGAGGATTTTGGATAATTGTATCAGGGCCTGCTCCTGTCTTCTCTGCTTAAAACTGAAAGGGTTCAGGACAGTCAGTGCAGGACTTTCCTTTAAGCCTGGCCTGCTAAGGACTTTTTCCTTTAATCTGGCTGCTCTTCTCTGGATTGATGTCAAGACCGCAATATTTAATATTTTTTCTGCAGCATGGTTCACAAAATTGTACACAATATTCTAAAAATGTTTTTAATACAATCACACTAACATCACTGACCTTGAATGCTTTTAACTGTGTATCCCAGAGTTGTGTTTACCTTTTAATTGTTTTCCAACATTGTCCAGAAAATGTAAGTGATGTGTTAACAAACATCAAAGCCATTTTCATAAGTAACCTCTTCGAGGTCAGGGTTTCCCGTTTTGTATTTATAATTTAGCTTGCAAGTCCCTGTGATATTGAATAATACACCCTTACTTTTTAATCTTATCAAAGGGTAATTTGTTGTTCAGAAATGTAGTACTTCCTTTACAAAATGATACCAATGATAACAGTATTGAAAATAAAATTGCCAGATTAATTGAAATTCTTGTTGGTACTCAAGCAGTTTATTCCTTTCATAAGGCTACATGAACTTAAAGCAATCTATTTTTCTATTTTTTAACCAGATTCACATATTTGTATTTCCAGTAAATGAAATTAACTCAAGAAGCTAATTGTCAGCAATTACTGCAAGCATGAACAGTGAAGTCGATTGTTTACTGTATCTGCACCCAGAATTCTCCAGAGAGACAACCCTGGAGACAGACAGTCATTCAAGCTCATTAATTGCCCTGTCCCTTTCTTTTCTTGGGAAACCGAGCAGTTCTGTTCTCTTTCCACCCCATTTCACCGTGGGGTTTCGTGAGGCGAGAGTTTCGGGGTTTGGGAAGCTGTCGCTATCTTTTTTTTTATTACAGCAGCCATATCACCCTGCAACTCACAAGTGGCAGCCCACTGAAGCTAAGCAGGTGTGAGCCTGGTCAGTACCTGGATGGGAGACCTCCTGGGAAAAACTAAGGTTGCTGCTGGAAGAGGTGTTAGTGGGGCCAGCAGGGGGCGCTCACCCTGCGGTCCATGTGGGTCCTAATGCCCCAGTATAGTGACACTGTACTGTAAACAGGCGCCGTCCTTCGGATGAGACGTAAAACCGACTCTCTGTGGTCATTAAAAATCCCAGGGCATTTCTCGAAAAGAGTAGGGGTGTAACCCCGACGTCCTGGCCACATTTCCCATTGGCCCTTCCCAATCATGGCCTCCTAATAATCCCCCACTATGAATTGGCTACATTACTCTGCTCTCCTCCCCACTGATAGCTGGTGTGTGGTGAGCGTTCTGGCACACTATGGCTGCCGTCGCATCATCCAGATGGGGGTACACACTGGTGGTGGTGGAGGGGAGTCCCCATTACCTGTAAAGCGCTTTGAGTGGAGTGTCCAGAAAAGCGCTATATAAGTGTAAGCAATTATTATTATTATCATCTAGCCTAGGACCCACGTTGTCACTCAGTATGGGCGTCGCGGCAAAGTCCACTGCTGTTCGGTGACGCAAGCTTCGTTTTCCCTCTTGCTGTGAAGGGGCTTCGAGGCCAGAGCCCATCCCAGAGGTGGGTGAGGATGCCGTCTCCACGGTCAGCTTGTCAGCCCCAGCTCTGACGGAAGAGGAACAAGAGGAGCTCCGAGCCGAACTCGCCAAGGTGACCCGCGACCTCTCCGGTTTTTTATTCTGCGCCTCCACAAGGCTTTCCCTCCAAAGTGAACAGCAATGTAATGAAGATGCATGTGACCAGACAGGTTATTTTCTTTCCCCTGCAAAGTTTCCAAACTCCTTCCCCGCAGGGCTGTCATGTTTACATTGAGCAACGCAGAGGGTGACATACAACAGCGGTCAACAATTAGCGGTGCTTTGTCTGGAGTGAATATTAACTGGGGCAAATGCTTTCTTCTGGCAGTATTACTCAAATTTGGCATTTAGACCCTCGTTTTTCCCACTTGCTAATGTTTTCATGAGAAGATCTGTATCGATGAGTGCTGTAAACTTGCATTCCAGATGTCTTCGTGAATTAAGTTTCCAGCGGCAGCCTTAATGTGGGCAAATTCATCACCCACTTCTAGGTGGTATTCAGTATATTCGGCCTGTGTGGAATGAAGCACCTCTGTGGAACTCGTGGTATTCCAAGTACAGCAGAAGTCTGCATCTAATCAGACATAGGGAGTACTGCTCAGTCATTGGTATCCACTAATGGCATCAGTTGTCCTACAGAGTCACAATATAACCAGAAGGTTCTAGCTGAAACCCTGACAATGCCAACAACTGGCTGTGTGTTTCCTTAATCAAGTCATTTGACATCCTTGTGCTCCTTCTAATGAGACGTAAAACTGAGGTCTTATTATAAGTGACTCGGAGCAGACAGACGGCAGAGTTTAGCCTGTAGTCTCTGTGCTTAATATTTCATTAATATTAAGAACTAATGAGGACCACAAAAGTAATAGGCCACAAACAAAGAATTAATGCAATTTTGTTGCACCAAAGTGTTATTTAATGGAATTTCTTTCATTTAATGTCCCTGTTGCAGGTGGAGGACGAGATTCAAACTCTCTCTCAAGTGTTGGCAGCTAAAGAGAAGCATGTCGCCGAAATCAAGAGAAAGCTTGGCATCTCCCCACTGAACGAGCTCAAACAGAACATCACCAAGGGCTGGCAGGACATGACTGCATCCACAGCGTACGTGCCAACTCAGGTTCAAGTCTCGAGTCTCAGTTAGAAAGCTGAACATATGCTCCCGAGAGACTCAACACATTAGGAGTAGGGTGAGCCCAGTGACCCTGACATTGCAGGTTCGAACCCAAGTAACTAGTCCCCTTTGACCAAGATCTTTTAAACGATTTAATTGCTCATTTGGCAGAACATGAAGGAGTGTGGGCTTTAATTAGCCAAGGTCCTCTCCTGTAGCATCCTTGGTATCTGTATACTTGCTGGGCTGCATAGTGTTGAAACTGCTGTCACAAATTCAAAGAAAGCTGAACTTGTTCTCCAGTTTAACCCGGTGTAGTTTGGTTCGCCCATCACACAGTTGCAGTGCTTACTTAAGAGATTAAAATAAAAATGAAATCACTGATTAAAATAAAATGAAACAGACTTGTAAAACTGGGAAAATGTCATTCGCATAATTAAGTGTGAATTGCTGTGTTTTGACGTGATTGTGCATGAAAGAGAGGATTAACATTGGTTTCTGTATTGGCTTCATATTCCTCTTAATTGTGCAAGCTCACTCCTCGACTAATGGATGTTTTGGGTACACTTAGATCAGAGATCTTAATTATAGAAGCTGCATTTACTGAAAACGTGGAAGTGCTCTTTGAATAAAAAAGGAAAATTGAATTAACTTAATTATCCTGTGTATAACTGCAAGTTGTAGACGCGTAAGGATGAGAATAATACATACAGTCTAGATTTTTCTACAAAGAAGTGATTTACATGTACTGCTGTTGGTTGTGTTTGATTTATTCCCCCTGCTTTTATAAAACAGATACAAGAAGACATCTGAAACCTTAAGCCAGGCTGGGCAGAAGGCCACCGCAGCTTTTTCAAGTGTGGGGTCAGCCATTACCAAAAAGCTGGAGGACGTGAGGTAAGGGAGATGTACTTTAACTGCTAGTGCATACGTTAAGTTTTCATCCGTTTTCAGAAAGGTTATTTCCTACCCCCTTTTGGCTTTGCAGTAACAGGGCATATATAAATTGAGCTCACTTATCCTTTCACCAGTTACTCTGTCAATACCACGATTACTGCTGCAACAGTGCAGAACATGGGACCTTGCTTAGAATCTCTGTTAAAAAGGCAGCCGTCAGTCGTGATTGCTGATGGCATAGACCAGCGTTACCTGTGTGAGTGACTGTGTCCAGCCAGGTAAAACTTTGCTAGAGATATTTCATGTCCACACTTGTTTGCACTGAGCAGAAGGAACAGTCCTGTTTCTTGTTAATTTGTAACCTATCGAAACAAGCTGTGGTTAAGCGATTTAGTTTAGTTGGGGCGTTTTGAGTCATTTTCCGGGGTGTTTTTTCCCCTGCTTTTTATCGGCAGTATTATTTAAACAAAAAGAATTAAAGACCCATGCACTGAAGCAGCTGCGTTTTTTTTTTTTAAAGCAGTTCACTGGAGATTAATCGTTCTTTATTTCTCTTTAATGCTTGCGATGGCTCTTTCCAGGTTACAGGCTTTTTCCAATTCCTTTAGGTAAGGCCGTTGTAACACTGGAGTACATTACCTCATTCATTCCACATCAGTAGCACTTTCTTTATATGAGGCATTCCCATTTCGACCCCAGGAATCGACTGTGATCTAAAGAAGTCCATAGCCATTTCTTCCGGGAAACTATAAAGGTTATCATTGATGTATCAGCCATCTCATTCAAGGATCACATCACAGCACTTTCATATCTGCTTATCCAATTCAGGGCCGTGGGAGAGCCGGAGTCTATCCTGAATTCCAGGAAGCACCGGGATACCATAATACGGATCGGTCTGCGTTATGTCACTAGTTGATCTCCAGCTTTCACTTTAGCAGGTGCTAGTGCCTCTTCCCTGCGTCTAAACACTAATATTAGTGTTTTGAGTAGGTTATTCCTGGTTGCCTTGTTTTTGTTATGCCCCATGATTTGTAGAGTAAAGCTAAGTGTTCTTCATGACGTGGCTTATGAATGGTAGCAGCACACTGCTCTATTGTTCTATTGGTGCTTGTATTCTTTATGAAGAATGTGAGACTGTACCACGGGCTAGATTCAGAAACAAAATCTGATTCTGAAAAACATTTGCAAGTGTCTTGTGTAAACCGTTTTGCCAATTTTTAAAACTTTATACTGCTTATACATATATTATTATATGTCTCTTCTTTCATACAGCATAAAACTCTGCTCTCGCAAGAAACTGCTGATAGTGTATATGCCGCCCACATTAAACAGGCTATATTCCTCAGGTTTTGTTCCTTAAAAAAAGGCACCCAGCTCTGCTGTCACGTCCTTTCCAGAGGCATTGCAGTTCTTGGTGATCAAGTCCCCATGACTTTCATTAATGTTTTTAGCGCGTTCTGTCAGCAAGCTGCCTGGAGCACTAATGTATTCTCACTGCTGAAGAAAGTCCTACCTCAAAGCTTAAGGAAGGTGCTCCACCCACTCACAGTGCCAAGAGCTCGAGATCACTCTTTCCGAATCGGAGGACTGCCTCGCTAATGAACGCAGCTAATCCAGGAAGTCTTTTGTGTTTGGCAGTGTTTGCAAGTAGTAGTTTTGGTGACAGAGACAGGAAAGGTTCTTTTGCATAGCGTACAACTCCCAGTTCCTGCAAGAAACTGCTGATACAGGCCATCCACTACAGACAAGCATCTATTTCTCACGGAAAACTGCCTGAGTAAGAGAAAGCAAGTGAAATAATTATTTCATTTATAATAATCAATCTAATTCTATGATTTATACCAGTATTTGATCATTATATAATTTAATAACTATATAAATTAATAATTAATTATCATTTATATATTAATTTGTTTAAAAATAAAGGGATATACTGATATAATCAGTCCATTCTTGCATTCAGAAGTCTGGCAAAGAAAAATGTAGCTAAAAATGGATATGTACAGTCACACTTACAGTTTCAGAAACAGGGTGACGATACAGTAGTACATTAAACACAGTATGTTGTTTTATTTCAATTTAGTTTCGTCGTTATTTTTGATGTAAAAGAGAAGTCAACCAAATCATGTAGTGCGTTCTTCTTAAGTGCACTTTACAAGCACTAATTTTTAAGTCTTCAACAGACTGTAAAAAGATTTGGCATGTTGTCTTTGTGAACAGTAAGCTTAGAGACATTTTGCAAGACTGGATTTATGTCAACCTACCTATATAAAAAACTGTTTTTAATATAGGTAAGTATATTGTTTTGATTGCTTAATGATCTTAAAGATTTTATTAATTTAGCAAGATCATCATACAGTATAATCCCCCCACCCCATTTTATTCAAGACTGTAGGGCCTAATAATTGCCTCATGAATGAGATGACACAGCATTAAGAACTGATGTCTGCAGCTCTGTAGGTGTTCCTGCTTCTTAATTCATTCCTTCCTAGTTCTCTTCCCAGTGCGGGTGGAGATTTAGTTCAGATTATGCCCCATTGTTTGTGCTGAGAGGACAGCTGGCATTCTGTCTTCGGTCTTGGAGAATGTCAAACGACTCGGGCCAGACAGCCTGCTGAGAGCCATGGAGGGGAGCTGTACTGGAAGTTTCATGGTCGTTCGTTTGTCAGGTTTACCGGACTGATTCCGTTGTCCGTCCTGCTTATTGGGCCAAAACAGACTCTCTCCGTCAGTACTGAGAAAACGGAGGGCAGCAGGGCAGACAAAAAGTGTTTTTGCTGAATCGGAGCAAGTTATAAAATATTAAAATCCCCAACAGTTGCACCTGTACTGGTCTCTAGAGGTCGAGATGGTTGTGCTCTCAGTAAGCCGTTGACCTCCTTCCACTGACAGCCAGTAGAAAAGCAATTCTGGTATCATACTGTATCTCCTGCTGTAGACTAGCTGCGCACTGGGGCAAGGGTCACTTCAATGGACATGAGATCATCACTGTGATCCTGTGCTTGTGAAAATGGGGTGGACCGTTTCTTTTCCATAATTGCACCGCTCCTTTGCTTCCAGACAACATCAGGAGATTGAAGTGGGATCAAAACTAACTCCTTTCAAGCCTGAAGTGTAATAAGCATTGCAGCTATCAACATGACAGATAATCCAATTGAAATACAAGTAGATCTTGGACATTTTCTGCATACAATGGCTTCATTTTCTCTCTCCTGAGATTGTTTTCTGAATATGAGCTTTTTGCTGTTGACTAACCTCTTGCCTTTTCTTTAATGCTGTCCGAAAGTATTCGTTCACTGCAGCACTCTATAAGCATGCCTGCTATGAGGTAAAGTATCTGCATTCTTTCCCAGAAATTTCTGCTATGTACAGATAAAGACACAAAAATGTTCTCTCCTCTCATTATTTTCCAGTGCTTAGGTGGGTCGTGTTATTCTTGAAACATTGAGAGAAAATCAAATGGAAAAACAGCTACACCTAAATATTTATCTCTGTTTCCAAGTAAAGTGTGGGCACTTTTGTCAGTAAGGGTTCAGCTATTTATCATCATTGTATACAATTCCTGATACAGCAGTGGCACCTTTTTGTAAATGTTATTGACTGCTTTAGGCTAATATATATATATATAAATGAAATACATAAATAAATAGAATGCTTTAAATGGGATATATCCAGTTCATGGTGTGGGATTTCCATGTCCTTTAGAAAGGAAACAAAAAGTAATACAGAAATACCAGTTTTTAAAATTTAAATACTGATCAGTTGTCCAGTATCCAAAGTTCTACATTTTATTATAGCTAGAGAAAGAAGTTAGTCACTTCTTAAGTTGCTGAATACTAATTTACAGGCATCATTGTGAAATTCTGTTGAAGTGGAAAGCACTACATTAACACTTAGTTGTGTGAATGAGTCAAAATTCACCTGTGAGTGTTTTCACTTTGAGAGGCCTTTACTGACATCCTGATTTGTGTTTTCCCCCCCAAAACAAAAAAGTACCAACTGTAATTAACTCAATTGCTGTTGCTTTTCTGGAATCTGGAATTACCTCAACATAAGTCTCTAAATGTAGTAGAATAAGTACAGTACCTTCCGAAGAGAAGAATGTTGTGTTTTTGTTTTACAGCTGCATCTTTAGATCTTTGGTTTTAAATACAGCCATCGAGAATAAGATGGTACAAATTATATCCTGTGAAACTGTCAGTAATTCACTGTATATACCGATTGACTTCACTGGGAATGTCAGTACAAGCAAACCAGTCATCACAAATGATTTTAACCTGCCCTCTGGGCAAGTCAGTAACCTTGTCAGTCTTGGGAGAAATGAAAACCAAATAATCCTGTTGTTGCTCTTCAATCTCAAGTGTCAGAATTGATATTATTCTGTCAAAATTCATGGCCTAGGGAAAATACTATCAGACCTTTTAATTTTCCTGTCGATTTTGATTTCTAAATCCGTTGGGTTTTATTGTGTAAAATCCAGTTTCCTCTCATGTCATGTCAGGTGGATTTCATCTGATTTGTCAGTTTCGTCATAACATTTCTGTTGGGACCTGCAAACCTTCTCAGGCAGCCATTGGCTTGAGATACAGTATTTCACATTTAGAGTTCGAGGCAGAATGGAAAAGGGCAAAGGTGTCTGTAATAATTCAGATTTTTGTTTTTGTTTTGTTCCAATCTGTGCTTTCTCATTTAGAGTTGTCGTTTTTAATTGCTCTTCAGTCTCTTTATGTACCACCTTTTCCAGTTCGTCCACGTGCCCGTGACAACCTTTATTTTTACATGGAGAGTATAAATAACACATTTTACCACGTAGATTACAAAATTAAGTGTGTTTCAGGGCCATGGCTGAAATCTAGCTGGTAGTATATTTTTTGGTGCAGGTATTTATGCTTGCACGTCCGGTTCAACCTACTTTGAATCATCTTCAAAATATACATTTTTCTACAGTGATTCCTGACACTTCCATAACGGTGTTGAATTAATGCGTTACTGTTTCTTCAGGAATTCCCCGACGTTCAAGTCATTTGAAGAAAAAGTGGAAACTTTAAAGGTAAGGTTTATGTCGATTAACTGGGGGAAATTCAGAGCTGATATTTTTCCCCATAGAAAGTCGGCATAAAAATTAAATTTCCCACGAATAGTTTTGGCCTAACAAAGTTGCGGGATGATTGGTGGACACATTAAGGCACATCAAGCTAGTTTCCTCTCAGTATGGGGAGTGAGGCAGTAAATTTACCTTTAAAATAAGAACATTAAATGTTTTTCTGTTCTTATGACTGTATTCCATGTAATGTGACCCACAAGTGCAGGGTACAACTGGACAGTTTTACTGCAGCCCTCTCCTTCATTATTGAATTGCTAATTAGAAGGAATAACACAAACCAGAGACGTTTTCGTTTATGAAAAACAGGAACTTTTTTAATACATAGCTTTTTAGCACACATTAGTAGAAACAATGATTGTATAAAAGAATAACATTCCAGTCATCGTCAAGACGAACTCGTTCCTCTGCACAATGCGGTGTAATTGTACTGAAAAAGGCCGTGGAGATTGGGAATAAAGTGAAACATCATTGACGTCATTTTTTAAGTTTGCGTGCGATGTGTATTCAAAAGGATGACCAGCCAGGTATTTGCAGTGAGCGCAGCTGTAGGAAGTTTTTCCTTGTCCGTTGAGCTGTGGTGGACAGGGGCAGAGTGGTGGCTCTGTGGCTCAGGATCTGCGCCTGTGACTGGAAGGTTGCCGGTTCAAATCCCGCGGCCGGCAGAGGAATCCAACTCCGTTGGGCCCCTGAGCAAGGCCCTTAACCCCAACTGCTCCAGGGGTGCTGTATAAATAAACTCTGACCCCAAGCTTCTCTCCCTGTCTGTGTGTCCCATGGAGAGCAAGCTGGGGTATGTGAAAAAGAAATTCCTAATGCAAGAAATTGTATACGTATATCAGTCTCCACAGTACAGCCATCTGAGTAGGCCAGCCAACTTCATAAACACCCTGTGCTTTGACTTTGCAGACGAAGGTCAGCAGCCAGCCGCCCACCGGAGATTTTGGAGAGGTTCTGAATTCTGCAGCCAGCGCCAGTGCCACCGACGCCAAGCCTGAGGAGACTCCGGTGGAGAGCCAGGGGGCGCACTAAGCTGCGCCCCTCTCGCCACACGGTCACCCACTTGCCAGGAGTGTCTACCAGCCGAGACGGCTCTGCTGCTGCTTTGTTCGTGCCCCTGGGGTCCTCCTGAAATCGTTCCATTCTTGCTGTCCGTCTGCTGTCTGACCAATCGAAAGAAAACTAGAGCTCAGTCCTTCTCATAACGTACACGGCTTGGTTTTACACAAAACTGTGAATAATTTCTCGCAGACTTTTAGAGGAGACAGGTCGCTTTTATTGAAAGGTAGGGCCACACTATTTTTATTTGACGTTTTCCCTCCCCCGTTTGCTGTATCTCAAGGAAAAGGCCTCACAAAGGCTTTCACAAACATTTGTCCTTAATCAGTCTCGGAACGCAAGTATCGGAGCAGATTTTCAAGAGCCCGGCAGACATTAAATAGATGAGGCTGTTCCCCCCCACAAAGGGAGAGAATTCCACAAGCTTTGCAGTCCCGATCAGCATATATCCGCTCTTAAAACAAAAAAGAGTCGTCATCCTCCTCAACACACTAGCACAAAGGTCTAATATGTTGTACATCCAGACTTAATACATTTTTGTTAGGTTGGCTGGTCTCTATTTTGGGCTCCGTGTAGCTGATGCAGTCTGTGACTTACCTATTTTGGTGGCAAGTTGTGTAAAACTACAAAGTAATAGCAGTTACCAAAAGCAGATGTTGTTCTGCAATTCAAACAAGGGTTTTTGGCTTGTAATAACGTAGAACGTATTTCAGTAACACTGGGTCTGCCCCCATATTCTGCTCTAGGCTCTAGCCAAAGAACAGGACAGCCCACTCAGCACAGACCCGAAGGCTCTGGTTTTAAGTTGTAATGAATGAAAAGCACAGAAAATGCCAGTTCCTCATGCAGTGCATGTATGGGCTGTCCTCAGAGGTGTTATTCAATCATTTACGTTTCCACATCTGGTCCCATTTTCGCCTCACATCGTTGATAGTCACTAACCAATTGAGAAGCCTGAAAAAACAATCACATGGGCGATGGATCTCTGTGGAGCCCCATTGAGTTAGAACTGCAGACTTTCTTCCAATTTTGTTTAACTACACTAGCTCTTACTTGAAGGTGTAAAGTCCATTTTCTGCACACCCAGAGTGCCAAATTCTCTTGCCGACTTCTGCTCTGCATTTAAAGTTTAACAGGCACTCTTGACTCAAAGTACTACTCCTATTAGACATCAGGTGTGCATTAAAGCGTGATTTTCTTTTATTAGATGTGTAGTTATTAAATACTGGACGAATAACAGGAATTCTTTGGCATACTCTTTTTGTTGTTAACTATTCTGGACATCTGGAAGGACGTCTGTTTCAATTTCATTTGTCCCTAACAGTACATTATTATGACTTTATTCATGTTTCCTATAACTGTTATGTATCGCTTCAGTAAACACATACGCTAGTTTCAATGATACATCACTGTGCTTTAGCTTAAAGACTTTTTTTTGGTCTTTATTTTTGTGAGTCAAACGGATTATGTACAGTACAAGCTATTTTGTCATTGTTTCAACGAAATGAAATTCATGAGACCAAAAAATAAGACAGTGATAGTTAATGGCTTTCTTTTCTTACATGCGTTTTCTGCTCATATTTGGTATTTTTAAACAAGACATTTTGAAGGTGCCACTGATCTAGAATCAAACTGGTCCGAATAGCTCGTTTTCTAGTAATGCAGTATGCGTAAAATTGGCCATTTCCTAGTTAGGCTAATTGTCTGCGTGTTATAACACACAGACCAGAGATAGACAGGCCATTCTTAGAGGAGCTGTCTGAAATACAGCATATTATCTGTGCATAAACTTAAACAGATGTTAATCTACTACGTTCTAGGTATTTGGGTTTGTTTCTTTTTTTTATGTATATAAATCAAATTTTGTAACTTTGGAAATATCGTGTCAGTCAAGACCGACACCAATGAGATGAACATTAAATCTTTATGAATGCAGTAAAGAAAATCTCAAAACACTGGAAGATTTGAGGCCTGTACTGCGGAGCGGTCTCTCTCGGAAACACGTCTGACTGCCTGCCTCCCACTTGTATTGACTCTTAAAAAGGTGGAGTTACACCCTTCACAGTGTCAAAGCATGTGTTGTGCCAGTGTTTGTGTGATCACATGACTATGCAGTTGGAAAGCACACGAGCAGTTTCAGCAGTTGGCTTTTGAAGTTATGTTAAAGGTATCCCATGTACTGCTGGTCACTTCTCTTGCCTGCTCTGGCCCAGCAACTCATTCTAAGCTAGAGGTGACAATGTGTCAGAGTCTAAGTATATCAGAAATGTACAGTGGTAATAAAACCACTATAAATAAATAAAACCAATCCTGTAATGAGGTTTTATAATTGCATATTGCTTCAATCTCACTTTGCCACCTAAGGATTTTGAACACAGGGTTTAAACATTGTGCAGGTTGAGGAAGGCGACAGTAACAGTCTTGCGTGTTGACCCAATAGAGAATTAAAACAGATTACTTGTCAATTCAGTTGAGAAGTGTTTGCGTTTGAAATGTGAAATTCAGAACTTGGGTCTTGAGTAACAAGGAACTGAAAAAGATTATAAAAGCGTGTGTTAGCAACTCATCCACTCGAGACTGTGTCGGTTATCCACAGATGTTTTGGAAAAATGTATGTAGTGTTTTTGATGTTTTAGTTTTCAAGTTACATCACCGTTGATTTTGAATTTAGATGTTGAAAATTATGAATGTATAACTCGGAAAACACTGAAAGCTCTCTCTGTTGCTTTATGTACTCTTACGTTTTTTTCCCCCAAGTTTGCCGAAAGCATTTTCGCTGCATTTAATACGTTCATGCTTTATGTTGGCACAAAAGCAAATTTTGCTCATTTATATCCGTTAATGCTAAATAAAGCACAATAAATGCATCGTGCCTTTCTTCATGGTTCACGTGTCTTTGTCAAGGTTAATATGACAGTTTATATTTTGTATAAAGACAAAATTCTAAGAAATTACCTGTATAGGCATATATTAAAATCTGACCTTAATTACAATTGAATGCATCGGGACACGGCAATAGACTGAAAAGAAACTGAGACTCGTTCCTGACCCATAAGAACAACGTTGTTCTAATTAGCACGAACTGCGTTGGCTCTAAATCGGATCAATTCGATTAATCTGATCAGTAATTTAATACGTAGGCCATAATTATTGCTTCTTCTGTTTCGTGTTAGTAACTACGTACTAATGCAATCACGCAATTGCATGTAGTCACGAAACGAGAACTGCACTTGCGCGTTTGGGCTTGAGCAGGTATCGTACCACAGCTGTTTATTTCCATTGTGAAATTAGATAGATTCATACGGAGATCCTGCAGACGAATACGCGAACACTTTGCTATTTCCGTATAAGCTACATTTCTGCCTGTGATAGTATAAATGCAAGTGCTACGCGATTTCCGGGGCTAAATTTGCACTTCATCTCTGAGTTTCTTAATTTACTGTATTTGAATTTTCTCCGTTTGAGGTAGCTTGAGAAACAAGCGTAGAGGCCCATCACAATAATTTTAAAAAAAATTCAATTAACATCCGGATGTAACGACACATAAAAGACTCACAGTACACCCTATTTAAATATGTATTTCCTTAATTTCACTTCTCATCGCCCCACGGGATATCTGGAAATTCAGTCTCGCATACTAAAGGCTCTACCTACAGCTACTAATAAAAGATGTACATTATTAATACATGACACCTTTATTAATAATGTATTCATAAACGTCGTTATGATTGTGGTGCGTCTGGAAGGCAAGTTCAGCTATACCAATAAGGTTTCGAGCGACTGTTGAATAAGTTCATTACTTAGACGAAATTATTTCCACTATATTCGGGACCGTTCTAATGTGATCCACTGTTCTGCTTAGTACGCTGCTAAATGGTTTAAACCATATCCAGACAGCAGCCGTCATCACCCGGCAAATCATAACTGGCAGCCAGGGCGTTTCTCGACAAAAGTAGGGGTGTTACCCCGGCGTCCTGGCCAAATTTCCCCCTGGTCTTCACCAATCATGGCCTCCTAATAATCCCCATCTCTGAACTGGCTTCATCACTCTGCTCTCCTGCCCACTGAGAGCTGGTGTGTGGGGAGCGGACTGGCGCACTATGGCTGCTGTCCCATCATCCAGGTGGGGCTGCACACTGGTGGTGGTGGAGGGGATCCCCATTACCTGTAAAGCACTTTGAGTGGAGTGTCCAGAAACGTGCTGTATAAGTGTAAGCAATTATTATCATTATTTTTATAAAGAGGATTTCTATTTCTCTATAACCTCTAGAGGGCAGCAGCTGTGACACAGGTTCTTTACATTAGAGAACAGGTTTAGCACGGATCTCCGGACTAATTTCAGCGGCCAGGCTCATTGCAGTTGGTCTTAAGGTAGCGCACTAGTTTAGCGGGGAGCTGCGTGCTCATCACGGGTTGGACTCCAGTTACTGCACTGTTTTCACTTCGTTGCAATTGACCCTAACTCTCTAGGATAGAATGGAGACAGGAAATGGTGCATTTTCGGTGACATAAGCCAGGTCTAAAGAGATCTGCCATTAATGGCGTCTGCTGGACTTTCCTATTTACACCAACAGAAAATGTAAATGAGCTCCGTTTCACCCTTGAGGCTCACGCATGTGAAAACTACGTTCCTCATCTCTCGGGAGCCATGTTTATGTACTGTAGGTTAGCGCTCACGAAAAGCGTCTCACGTTTTGGTTTGGAATTACTCATAGACCCCGCAAGAGGGCGCTCTGCAACACAAGACTGACTTAGATGGGCAGTTCATTTCAGCCCGCGATTGACACGTCATTTTTTAAAATACACTTGTCTGAATTATTTTTTTTTGTGAAGCAGCCAGTACGCGATGCTTTTATGAATGACAGATATGTAATGTGGTTAATCCGGTTCAGCTCTGCTGAACACCACAACAGCTCTCCAGCCTGACTGCCCTGCTGGACTGATTCCGTTTCAATGGAAAAAGTAAAGGTTTATTCCATGCTGGGGAAAAAAAAAAGAGTCCTACTTGAAATTCAGTGTAAAATCCAGGCTGCTCTTACACACGGTAGAGAGGTCCCACCCTCTGAACCACGATTTCCAAGCCAACGTCCGAGTGCAGTGGCCAGAGACATTGGTCCAGGAGCTGCTGTCCTTCAGGTGAGACCTTCAACTGAGGAACTGACCATGTGGTCTTCCAAGACCCCTGGGTACTTTGTTGCAAAAGCGTAGCAGTGTGCAGCCCCGTCTTATCCTCTCCACTAGTCCACTCCAGGCGTGTGCAATCCGCCTTTCCAAAAAGTCTCCCTGAACTGAACCGGTGAAGCCATTTCTCACTTATAGTAAAGCATGACGGCTGCCTGCATTGTGCAAATCACTTCTGGGATGCTGGAAATGAGATGTGGTCACCTAATGTGCTACAAGGTACCACGATGATCTGCTGTACAGGCTGTCCCACAGCAAAGCAGACTCCTGCTCTTTTTAGGAAACACCTCGGCGGAGAGAGATTAAAACACCACTCTGGCACAACATGGGAAACAGCTGCCAAAAAATCTTTATTTCCGTCGATTGCTTATGAGATCAGGACACAGAAAGCCTCACGAAGAGAACGACACCGAAAGAAAACAACCGCTGTACTTACAAGCACCATAAAGACATGACCACAAGATCACACAATACCATGTCCGGAGTTATATACAGTGGGTATATACAGCTGCTTTGTGAAATAACTAGTACGGCCAGCAATTGAAAGTTAACAGTCAGTTTTGTTTGTTTCTATTAGAAAAGCACAACATTCTTTTTTTTTTCTACAGTTCATGGTATAACAGAAAAGGCATGTATGGATAAGTGAAACATCGCGTTCAGCAAGTAGTTTTTTGTTTAAAAACAGCTTTTTATATACTTTTCTTACATCATGTAAAACACTTATTTCATGTAAATATTTGTTTAGTAGATTATAAAAACTCAACTGCTTTTTTTTTTCTTTCGCACCGCCTTGCATTTCGCCTCTGCAGCTCTTATCATCTCGGATGGACCGACTCTTATTCCTTTTATCGAGACACGAAAAGCCGTTTCAGGCGCAGGCAACTTCCGAAATGCGACCCCTGCTAACTTCAGCAACTGTGGATGGAAACTCTTCCAAAAGACACTGCTTTGGTTTCAGACATCTGAGAAGCGAGAGATTTCAAGTTCAGCATTCGTGATTAAATGGCTTCCACCCCCACAATAGGAAGAGATGTGGTACTTTGACTTGCCAACGTCCTACGGCAAAACCTTTGAAACACCACTTTGCCTACAATAGAACATAGAAGTTATTCTGTGCGATTTTCTATTTTTCACAGCCCAGATTGTTCTATTAAATCGGAATTCTTTGATGCCTCCGAGGCAAAATCTCCCAAAGGTTCCACTGGTTCTGCCAGAGATTGTGATTTACAGTGAACGCTCATGACGTGCTGAAATGTTTCGAAGCATCATTTTATAAACCCCGATATCGTTCCTGCACTGTAGCATAGTGTCGCTTGTTTGTTTGTTTTTTCTCCTGGTTCAATTTTAAAGGGACTTAACAAAAGACACTGAATCCATTTCTTTAAACCAAAAGGTACATTTATAAAAGCCCATCCAGATTATCCTGATGCCTTGCTGTGGATATATACTGTAGCAGGGAGAATCTCGGTTTCACGCAGTAAAGGTCATCTTAAGCACAATGTGGCTTGTGCAAGCTTGTCAGCCTATTGGGGTTGGCCTTAAAAGAAGGATGTGCCAGGAAAAAAAATCTCATTTGTCCACGTGTGCTTTGGAGAACCCCTTGAATGTTCAGATGTTCTGATGGTAAGACTCCCAGAGGGTGGGGGACACCCAGTTTTAAAATTTAAAAAAAAAAGTGCTTGTATAGTATAGCACTGATCTACTTGAGACGCTTGCATTTACAGTATTTAGCAGTCAACCTTGTTTGTCACCAGGTTCTTAAAACCATGCTGTCATCTCCCCTGCTTGAGGTAATTTTGAGGTGAACATTATGCAACCAAGTACAGCCTACTTTCTATTCACACCTTCCTCAACAGTATGAATATAACGTATGCATATTATAAGTATGGTGAAATTCAACACTTTTGAAGAAAAGGAATTCTGCACAGAGACCGACAGGGAAATGTTTGTTTTTTAGAATGTTTTTTGCAATCAAGAGATGAAGCACCTTTACCCTAGAGAAGAAGACTTTTTTTTTTTGCTTAGTTTTAAAGGCCATCTCATTCCTCTTTACATTAAATTACAAGCCAGATTCCTGAGTTTGTGTTTGGTTATTTCAAGTCAAGGACCAACATTTGCCTAACACTGTTTTTCTCCCATGAACCGGAGTCCTTTCCACTCCCCCCCAAAAAAAAACTCACCCAAAAGTAAGACCAGAGCTAATTCATTCTCCTGAGCCTGTTTTTTTTGCACTGCATTGTGCCACTCAGCACAAGAAAAACAGATGAACAGCTTTATTGACCAAAGAGTGTGTAAAGCTGTGGAAGATGAGTCACTTAATTCCTTCATCCGTGTCCCTTTCCTTATCCCAGCTCATGCTTCACCTGAGATCACTTCATATCATTGCCATTTAACAGCTCTTTACATACTGTAATTGTGAACCTGACATTCCTAGAAATAATCCACAGGTGCCACTTCAAGATCTTCAGCATTTTGAATCAAAGATACATCTGCAAAGACGATCGCTACTACTGCATGAGTACATGTTAAGTAAAAGAAAGCAAGTGGCTATAGAAATATTACAATCCAGGCTTATTTACTGTACATATCTGTAATGGTTTTAAATTTCTGAACGACAACATTCCCCCACCAAGGGGAAAAGGAAGCTCTGGATCAAAACACTTCTTTTAAATGACCAGGATAATTCTGGAAGCCTCGAGGGGGAAGTCTAGCGAGTCCACTTGACACAGCGGTGGAGTGGGTCAGTACTGACAACCAGGTATGGCTTTTGGCCTGCAAAGACTCAGGGACACCTAGAACCTAGAACCATGAAAACACTGACTGTTTCAGAAGGAAACAATTCCTTTACATTAATATAATGCAAATTCTCAAATACAGCTGAACTCATCCAATGCATCTACTGCATAAGACCATAGTTTCTTTGTGAAGCTTTCAAGACCCCACAACTTTTTTTTTTTGCTCAAAATGTGCACAGCACTCAGATATCTATATTTGGCAATAAGGATTTTTAAGCAGTTGAGAGCAGACAAACTCCTCATTGTCAACCAATCTACTGACAGAGACAGAAAAGCTGTCACTGACAAGAATACATTCATTTTCAGATTTTCAGACCAAGTGTGAGAAAGGACTTGTTAAGGGGTTATATGCGTTTTATTTTTTTGGGGGGAGGGAGTTTCAAAACATCAGGAAGCACATAGATTTTGGTGGAGAAAGATTAATGAATCTAATTAATGAATAAGATTATTCCAACTGCATGCAAACACTTTTCTGCAATTTCATATCTGCACTGAAGAACCACACTGCTTTTGTTTTTACAAACCACGTCCTTCAGACGGGGCAGAAAACTTGAACCCGTCAACAAAATTCAACTACTACTGTATACTGTACATACTGACCCCTCAACACCTAACTCTTTTATTCACCTACATACTAAACAAAGCAACATAAAAATAAATGTCTTGTGGGAAAAACGCTTGGGAAGGTACCCTTGTAACTGAGTCACTACCCCCAACATTATAACTTTCTTTGTATTTGTAATTATACTCATTGTATCGCATGTAAAATTAGCATGACAAAAGACTGCCGTTTTTCGGTTTTGCAGCAGACATAAAAACTGGAGCACAAAGCAGTTACCGTTTCAAAAACAAAACGTGAGCAAAAGAGAGCTTACAGCTAACGGAGATAACCGTGTTCAATATCAACATGGACTCCAACATTGGCGGCCCATTCTGGTCTCAGTTATGGATTCGTAACTCCAGCCTGACTACACCTGGCCGCCCAGGTCACAACAGGTGCAAACACACACACAACTCGAATCTTATAGTATAACTCTAAAAATGCAGACCGTATTTCCGATAGACAACCATAACAAAAGTGCAATTCAGACAGAAAATGCGAGGGGTCTACCAGCCGGGATTCTGAACAAAACGTTTTCCCCAAGCAAAATATAGAGACGTGTTCTTCATGGCGTTTTCTTGTGCGCTAACTGCTCAGGACGTGTACTCGCTCCCACTTTCCCGACAAGGAAAAAAAAACGGATACTACGTCTTCGTGCTAGATTACTTCACGCAGTTACCAGTATTGGGCTTTGAAAAGCAATACAAGACTTCTAAAAGCTCTTTCCAAACTGAAAGCGCACGCACATCATTTCGTCCCACTCGGATGGTGACTGCGTCAAGCGACGAGGCACCCTGAAGAACCCAAGAGTCTCCAAGTAGGATATTAAAAGGGTCAACGGACAAGCCTCTTGGGGAAGATGCCGCTTCCATGATGGAGTGGCAGGGGGGGGTCTAGCTCACGAAAACCCCAAAACCAAAAGCCTAGCTTTACTTCAACAGCAGTAACAATTTCCTTACCTGGTAGATTCCGTTTGACCGGGTGCGCTCATCAGCCGCCTTCTCTTTACCGGCGTCCCGACGGGGAAAGCGACCGGGGATGCTACCAATATTATCCGGTGTAAACCTAATCTGACACTCTACTCTTACGAGTATAATCGTAGTAAAACACCCTCTCGCAAACAGTTTATGTTCCTCAATTTATTTATTTTTTTTTAGTGCTCACTATTCTCAGTAACCCTAAAGGTCTTGCGAGATAATAACCCTCCGCTCGTCAGACACGGCTTTTATAAGGTCTTGGCGATTCCAGGTGCAACCAGGTCATTGATTTCATAGTGAGAAGGAGAAGAATGCCTTTCGCTGAATGTAGCGACCCCGCCCTCTGGCGACTTAACCCCGACTTCAGCCATCTATTCTAGAGACACCCGTGTATGTTATTATATTCTGCTACACCCACTATAGACTCTCGGGGCTATGGGTTCTTCAGGTCTCTTTTCACTTTATTCAGTTTGTTTTTGTTTTAAATAAACACATCAACATAAATGTTACACGTGTATCTTTCACAGCAATTGCGATTGAGCTTACTTGTGCTGTAAAATGCCATGTACCATTGTGGTTGGCAATGCGGTCGAAAGGCACAGGTTACATCCCCTTGACACTGAACCCGGACGCCTTTTTAAAATGAGCAGCTGGGGCTGAAATGGCGTTTTCAGTGTGAAAAACAAGACGACGAGAACGGGGGGGAGGAATCAAGAAATGTAAATGAGATGTGCTCTTTTTTATTAACAAAAACGGCTAATTTCGGAAATATACGGAACAATTTAATACTTGAAGAAATATGGGCATAAAGCTATAAATGTGCGACTCTGTTTGTTCGCTTCTGGATGTACATCCCTGGCAATTTATCTAGGGAAAAATAACTAATTGTCGCTTAAGCTGGATGCTATTTGAAGAATTAGCTATATTCTGTGCCTATTAGTTACATTCTACAATCTATCAAAATGGCCTCCTTCACCACTGCAACTTACACAAGAGAAGACGATCTTATTGATTTGACACAGCAAAAACACAAATGACAAACATATAACTCATGAACTACACGGCAAGCATCAGACTCCTCACTTGTAGGACACTTAAAAAAGGTCAAGATAACAACAGGCCTGGTTTCAGGCACTTAAAGGGAAAATGTCTTGAAAATACCTCCCCTCCCCTCTACTACGTTTGCTCTGCACCCTTAAAACAAGCGGCGAGCAATTTCGAGAAATTTCCACTGTCATTAAAAGAAATTGATATCCTGAGACATCAGTAACCTCATTTTCTGGAGAAAAAAAAAACACAGTGCTCTCTGCTATGGCTTAAACTTTTGAATCTCCCTGCTGCTTGTCAAGCCTACCAGAAAGAGGTCCTGAGCATTGTGTTTTGTTTGTTTTGCTTTGTTTTCAACAGTCAACTTCCTTCACCTGTCTCCTCACCCTCCCATCCCTCGGCAGCACGAATGGAGATGTGCTAATCGCAGCGGCATGTCTTTAGTGCGGAAACCATATAAAATAAGATCAGCTTTCAACTGTATCACAGCAGGACCTTGGAACATGGCGATCACCACAGCGAGAATGCACACAATTCAGCTCAACTACATTTGTCACAAAAAAAACGATGTTTTCCCGGAACAAAACCTTCAGACCTTGTAATAAAATAAACATCGAGTACTTCGTTTTTATTTCGCATGCACATGCAGTATTAAAAAGCACAGAGAGTTGGCGTTTGTTCAACCCAGAACAACACCGGCTGTTTTTCCCCTTGAATCAAGAGAGCACAGTACTTGATGGTATAAGCAGCGAGATAACTCATTCTTAAGACACTAAAAACGGAGACGATTACAACAGAGAATTTGTCGAGTTCTGCTCTTTTGAAGGTACTGCAGAGCATTCTGAAGTACGGTATCTGCATGAAAGGTTTTCCTTTTCCACAGCGGAACATTAGCAGGAATACTTAATGTTACAATTTCCCTCACGGGATTCAATTAAGTATCTATCTTAATATACTGTAGGTTTGCACGAGTGGGTCATTAATTCAATGTTTGCAACTAAACTGGTGACTTGCTAGGTAAGAGGACAGCATGGAGTTCATGCGTTCATGCAGGTTTCCTCCAGGTGCTCTAGTTTCCTGCCACAGTGCAGAAACATACTGGTAGGCTAATTGGCTTCTGGGATATTTGGCCCTAGGCGTGTGTGTACCCTGCCTTGCGCCCGTTGCTGGCTGGGATTGGCGCTGGCTCCCTGTGACCCTGAACTGGAAGAAGTGGTTAGAAAATGGATGGATGTCAAATTAGAAACACAGTAAGTGAGAGCAGGGTATCCACTGGCTTTCACTTAGCTACTGGCTACTAAATACCATGTCTGGATTTTTTGCCTGATTAAATCCATCACCAGCCTAAGCGAAAAGCCATAGGCTGGAGGACATCAGACTTGACTTCTTAATAGGTGGCACGAGAAAAGCAATCTCCGAAGTGACCTGGCACACACAGGCTCGGGACACCACACTGAAAACCTCCAGCTTCCTGCTTTCCCTGCCATGCCTTTCAGTCGACTATTCTATTAAAACCCAGCTCACAGCTGCAACCTTGCACTTCAAATACAAGAACCATTAACACAAACTGTGCGTGCCCTCTGAGGCAGCCTGCCGGGTTGATTCACTCCAACTGAGCTGGATAGGAGGTAAGGGGTAGGTCATCCCGGGAGACCAGACTACACCCCTCCCATGAACGGCGTTGACAACCAGGCATTCCTGGAGCAGGCCACCTCTACAAACACTCTGCTCCCACACCAAGGCTTCAGTAGGGATCAGGTGCTAGAGTCAATGAAAAGAGCCTGAACTGGGCGTTATAGGTCACACTGAGAAGCCACTGTCTGCCCATTTCAATTCAGAGCAGGGACAGGGAATGCCACAGAGGCGAATGACCTTCGTGTCTGCCACGTCACAACCTCAGTGAGCCCACTCGGCCGCCCCCAGACACCAGAACAAACCCGCCCCATGAGGTGAGCGCTGGGGCAGAGGCATGCCTTCTGAGCCCTGGAAAGTCACCACCTGTGCCTGACTTTTGTACCGTTACCCCTTACAAAGCCTCCAAGACACAGACTCCCTTCTCTCCCAGTTCTGCTTTCACACTGCTTCAAAGGTTTTTTTATACATTTCGCCCGTTCCTTTTTAAACAAAGGAATGCTAAAACGCATTCCCTCCTCTCGTCCAATTTAATCCTCTGGACAAGCCGCGCCTCAAACAGGACGTGCCAGAACGTTCCTTTACTCACAGAAGCCTTCCTAAGAATTACCTTAGGAAAATAAAACCGTCTGTGTTCCACAGCATTCAACTTGAAGTCACCAGAGGCTTGTTTAGAAATGAATGGGACTTCTTTTAAGACATCTTAGAAATGTAAAAAGACTTAGTTCCCACAGAAGACATCAATTCAATGGATTAACTGAATATCAAGAGATATTCAGCTTCTTTTACCATGTTGTGCAGACAGTTCCAGAATTTTAAAAATCAGGCAGTACAAAACACCATTGCAATACAGCTTTAAAAACAAGTAATTGTGGTGAACACACCCACTCTGTGACTCCTCCTACACAAAACAACTATATTGGGCTTCGAAGTTCTTTTTGGCGTTCTGGAAAAGCACATTATGCATTTTTTGTCTTTTCCTAATCCTCCTACATTTGATTGCACAGTGACAGGTGATGACACTGGCCACCATCCATTGTTACTGTAAAAGCTTAAATTGGCTCAATCTTTAATTTTTCTTTTAAAGGACTGCATCAAACTCCCCTATCCATTTTTCCAAGCTCCACCAGACACCTCTTTAACCATTTTCCATAGCTCTGAGAAGTGAAATATTTGTATTTAGAATGAAAACTATCACTAAAAGTGTTGCATTTTTATTATTAAAAAGATATACAAATACAAATTTTGGGTTTTGATTTGGCAGTATTTTCATTAGTGGATCGTGATCGTGACAGATCCATTTAAGTCACTTTGACGATGTGGTCATGGAGAGAGCACTAAATCTCCTCATGATTTAGACTGAACGCAGCTGATAGGCCATTTCACCCGGTGAATTTCATATGTGACAAAAGCAGTCAGGAATGATAGACACAGAAAAGAAGCAATACTCCCCCTTTCAAGAGAACAATGTCTTGAATGAACAAGGTTATTGGAGCAACACCTTGTAAATTCATCAACGATGGATCAAAGTCCTCTTTAGCCCTGAATCTAGGCTTTGTGCCGAACAAAACACCAATTGTCATGTCCAATAGACCAGATCTGGGCAGGAGATCCCTCTTGTACTGTAGTAACAGATGACAACTAGATGGCTTGACCCTACATTATCCAGTTCTGGGATCTCATCTTCCTGACAAGACAACAATCCAGCAGGACACTATCCCACAAGACAGCACCTACAACTTGGGGGATAGAACATGCAGGAGATGTACAGCACTCATCGGGTTACAATTTTGACTACACATGCTACTACCTGCGACTTTCCCAGAAGCCCCTTCTGTCGATGACTAATATTAATCACAATGGAATGGAAAATAAATCAGTTTTTCACATACAACGTGTACTCACCACTGTATAGCACCAGGCTCCGCAGAAACACTGGATGAAGTCCTTTCAGCGCTGAAAGGCTATTCATTACTCAACATCCTATTATATCTCCCTGGACGTTGAATACTATCCATTAATTAATCTGTGTAGAAATTACATACGAGTATCACAGCTCTCCAGAAAGAATTCGTCATCCCTCAAGGGGAAGTCATACAGTATATTCATAATCATGTTAAATCTGTACCCTTAGAAGTCCCCCAGTATCCCACCTGGATAGGATATCTGCTTACAAGGAAAGGTTGTTTCTGTATCAACATGACCCATTAAACACTGCTCTACCTGATTAAAACCTTGTGCTGTTTGTCTATTTTACAATAGCACTTCAACCACATGCATTCATTCGCCACTCAGAAAAAGGGACAGGATATCAAAGCATTATGCTGTCCCTGAGCAAACTGCGGGAAGTCTACTGTATATGGGACATGATGTCACGAGCAGTCCACGGGCTCACAGCAGAGTCTAAAAATCAGGGGTTAAAGCTACCAGTTGGCTCTTCCAAGCCCAGTACAAGAAGCCCCTTAAGTGGTTAAAAGGTTAAAACTAACTTGCAAACTACAAACATATTTTTCAACAGAAAAGCAACGACTGCTTCAAATATGCTCAATAGGCCAGTTCAAGGATGCATGGATCTCAACTGAAGTTACACCAGTTTGCTAGACAAGGACCTTATGTATTAGTTGGCCTATTTAAACTATTGTATTGTTAAACCTGTGGACCATGGAGCAATGAAATGTGGTACACGAGGGACCATAAAGACCACATGGACGATAGCTGTACACACCAGCAGGCACTAATACCACCAGCGTCCACCAGAGGGAGCACAAAGTGTTCCTAATCACCAACATCCCCACCAGCAGTCAGGCTTGGAACGGCTTTCCTTACAAACAAGAACAGTGTTGTGCAGCACTGTTACAGTAATATGTGAAGCCAAAAGGGCCAATAGTATTGCATAGGCAGAGAAACAGCCTTCAGCAGGGACCATCCTGTGGTGAGGCGTTAACAAAGCAATCATGGAAGATCTCAAAGATGCCCTCTGATATTATTTTGCTCCTCTTGAATACTAAAGAACGTGCACCCTGAACAGGCCACCGGAAGTACAGAAAATCACATTTGCACAAACATAGCCCTCCTGGCATGTACTAGAACTGCAGAGGAAGGGGTTCCTACTGGCACAGTTTGGAAGTTAACCAGAATTTCACTGATCCATGGCTTTGAGAATCGAGTTTGAGGGCTCGCCATAGTTCTAAGCATGTAGTTCAGTTTAAGCTCATTTTTCATATTTATGACCCTTTGAAGTGTCGCCATTTACTGTAAGTCTAGTGAAGTATAGCTGAGGATTGAAAACCTTTCTACAAAAGACGGCTTAATGGAAGCTGCATGGGTCATGGTTAAATCTACCATACAGCAATTGCATCTTTATTATACACTTATTCCCGCTTTATTAAAGACTAACCTAGTCTTAAACATGCGTGTGTTTTAGAAAAAACAAAGAACGTAGCACAGTTCAACCAAACTGCCATTGGTGCAGTAAAGACCCAGTGAAGAAGGTGAGTTGAGACCCTGCCAAACCCAAAATTAGCATCTGCTCTAGATGATGCTTTCCTTCCTTTTGAATAAAAACATTTGAATGCTGAAAACATTCAGAAAAGATCAGGTCATTGATCAAGGAAGTTAAAAGATGGTTAATTTGCCTGATGAAACAGAAGTAATGCACGCCACCAATAATGCAAACAAAAATCATTAACCCTTAATGTACTATTCACGTTGGGCCTTTACAGCATTTTTTAAAATGTTTTCTGAATGCAATTTCCAACCTACAGAATTTAGGTTTGCTGCTAACTGAAGTAGTGTTTTGACAGCTGTAACACTTTGTTATTGTTCTGAGGTCTAGTTCAGCATTTTGTAGTTTAATAACTCAACCCAAAACCAATATTTTAATATTGATCTCGGTAGAAATCCCACCTTGTAATAAAAAGAGCTGTAGATGTACTCTAAAGAATGGCATTCCAGCTCTTCGGTTGCAAGAGCGACAAGAGCACATCTCTTGAGATGTAGTTACCTCTAAATACAAAGAAGTATTGAGCAGATCCTGAGAGAAATTGAATACAGTATCTCCTCTGTGCTTGGAGGTGTAGCTTCATGGCAAGACTGCTGGGAAATAAGTCTCCTCCACCATGGTAAAAAAAAGCTAAAACCACAAGTGACGAGATGCTAATGGCAGACATTTTGTCCCCATACTTCCAAATTTGATTTGGAGCGATTGTCATGCTCTGAAAAATCACAGCAACCACGGAATGGTGCAGTAAATGTAGCTACGTTTGGGAATTTCAAGACTCCATCACCAGACCAATGCTCTTCCATTGAAAACTACAAGCTCACCAATTCTGTGCCAGCAAGCCAAGTGGAGCAAAACCGAAGGAAGAGCAGGAAATGTAGCTGGAGGAAAAAAGATACTCCACACTGGCTGAAGATATTGTTTCCAACCTGTACCAAACTAAATGTAAGTACATTTAAGGAATAGAATCTAAGGAATGGTGTGACTATTTTTAAGCTGTCCTGAGGTGCAGCACAGAACTCTCCATTGGTAAGTTTGGTTTTCTCCAGAAGGAGAACAAGCTACCAGCTTACTTCCACAAACTAAAAAAGAGAGCTTCATTCGCCTAGATTTCGTGGTTCCCCTTTCCACAAAGGTGACATTTCTGTCAAGAACAAGTGTTATTTTTTCTTTGTTCCGTCTTGCAGAGCACAAAAATCCTCAAAATTAACCGACTACTGCTAAAGTAAACACTTCACGAGACTTGGTGAGATGTTTACGCTGTATCAATTGCCAAAGCTCTATTTTGAATTCACTCTTTCACTTGAAAATCATTTAAGTGAATAAAAAAGCATTACAAGTGCCATTTTGGAGACTCCTAACATTTGCCCCTCACATATGTACAAAATTTCTTTTTAAGTGCTAAGGAGCTCATTAAGTGCTTGATTATGGGACTAACTGAAAACTATCACTCTCAAAACAAAGTCAACGTATACATGAAGCGCAAAGAGGAGGGCACAGAATATTCCAGAATTGTGGAAAAAGCAAAAGGCGACAGGAGCCTTGCTGCAGAACACAACGTCCTGCTGGGGGGAAGTGAACTGGGATGTTTGTGTGCGTTTAAGGTGTTCAGAGTTAAGAGTGTCATCCGGCAACTCATTAGCTACACCATGTACTGCACATCCAGCTTCTCCTCCACTGAAGTACCTTCTATCAAAAGTCCCGGCATTCACTTACAGTACAAGTCTACTTCCAGTGGTGAAGACAAGGCCAAGGGGTCCATCCGGCAGCGAAACCGAAGGACTGTGGCGGTGTTAAAGTTTCACTTCGCACAGATAACAAGGCCGTCATAGACAGATGGAAAGTTTAGAATCCAACTAACCCTACTGTCAGTTGACAACGGGTGACGGTGCCGGAACGGCCAGTCTCTCCACAGATCTTTTTCCTTGTGTTCATTCTATGTCACTCTATGAGTTGACCAAATGTTTTTCGGCTAAATAAGTGCCTCCTTTTCAATATATATTCTCAAATGTGTGCTGCTGAAAGCTCCTGATCAACCCAACAAGTTGCATTTACAAGTCACAAAACAGGATTTCTCATCGTAGAAGAGAGTTGGATATTTCCCACCCCATTTTCTTGAGTCCCACACACACACACAGCTAAATTTGCCTTCTGATTCTACTGGAATAAGCAGCTGGATTAACTGATAATAAAAAACCAAGGACCACTGGGAGAAAAAAAAACTACTGTGAGTGTTGGTAGCCAAGATCAATCCAAAAGCAGTAGCAGGGTTAAAACACGGTATTCAATTTCTTGGCCCCCTCCATCAAAGTGAATGGTAGCTGCGTGACTTAACAGCTCAACATCTACGTTTTGAAGCCGGTGTCTACAAAGACATCGTCTGGTGTGAGCCAGTTACCCTTGCCCGAGGTGCACAATTGAAAATGACTAACTTATCCATAGACTTTAAACCCCCAGCACATATCAGGACTGGAATTTTTTTAAATGACAATCTTCCTCCTTCTGAACAGTGGAAATATGATGATGCAGCAATACTGAAAGCACTCCTCATCCAATCGTTTGTTCTTTTCAGCAGCCTGGCAAAGACGTCATGCTGACGACACATTTGAAGGTTCATGGTGGCAACACTGGAACGCTTTCAAAAATAGCTTATAACACTAGGGAAACTCTTCCCTTCGCATGAAAACAAAAATATAATCGGGTGAGTGGGCTCTTTTGTAATTCTGCCTTTGATATTGTGCTTCTAACACTTGTCTGTCTTCTCAGACTTCACACCTCCATTTGAAACAAAGAATCAAACACTCTGAATAAACGTCTTTAAAAAAAAATCAGTCGCTAAGAAAGCCTACAAGGTACAGGTAAAAAGAGTGTATGCACAGCTTTCTCACAGAGGCTGAGAAAGAACCACAGATGTCTATTCCTTAATTCATATACCTTCAGCAATTTCTCTTACAGGATTAATAAAGTATCTATCTTTTTGTACACAAGATTAAGAAATGTCTTCTGGTGAGCACAACATAGAGTGCAATGTCATAAAAAAAAACAAGTATTACATTTGGGCATGCTTCAATACCTTTGTTTAGCCGATGAGTCATGTTTTGTTCATGTGTTGTGACGAAAAAGAAAAACAGCAGATGTAAATTCTGGTTGTAGCCAGACCTACAGCAGAAACACCCACCTTTAAAAAATATGGCCCTTTAATGATTGGCTTCAATACTGCCTGTAAAGTTTGAACTCTTACAAATTTCTGGTGCTAAATGACAGCTATTGTGTTTAAAAACAAAAAAGGAGATTCATATTTTTGGTTGCAACACGTTGAGTTTTTCCACGCGATAAAAACAGATGGTCACTGAGATCAGTCTCGTATAAACATAGCTGCTGGTTTTCTTAGAGCAAATCCCTGAAAAAGTCATCAGCAAACATATAAAAATGGACATAAAAAAAGCTCAGGTTTTCTGTGAAATCAGTTCCAGAAAGGTAGCAGAGAAAGCAGTTTTGCAGGTGGTCTCCCTCCATGAAGTGTAAACTCTGCTTCGGCTCATCCTTAACTCCAACGTCAGGATCAATTCAACCAGGTGGAGCATTTCCTACTCCCACTGAAGAGGATGCCTTTCCGTCGTCTCTCCTCCACTGCCAAGAAGATAGTAAAAGGAGAAAACCGTATTTCCCCCTAGCAAACAACGGAACCGCTGACAGAAGCCTTCTCCTTCCTAGAGGGGAAAATGGAAGAAGTCAAGCACGTGAACTTCCGCCAGCGCGACAGGCCGTTGGCCTCCAAGTTAGAAAACATTCCTTCAAAAACAAAAGTTCGCCGATCACGTCGTGGGTCTCACGGTTGTCATTTCAATCTGGAAAGGCGGCGGCCGCTACTCCACGTGGACTCAGCTGAGGCCTCCTGGGACAGGGGACAAACGGCACGACCTCGCGTGCGGGGGAACGCCTTGGTGTGTTCGCTAGCTGCCGGAACTCTCCTCGATTCCCAAAGCGCGGGAGCTGCTCGTTCAATCCACGAACCTCTGGCAGGCCTTTTTCCAGCGGCAGGCCGTGCACCACATGTCCCGGTTCTCCATGCCATACACCTTGCGGCACTTCCTTCCCTCCCCTCGGGATTTCCTGACAAAAACAAACAATGCAAACAGCTCATCGGCCTGCAACGCCATGTACACGCAAGTCGTATGAAGTCTCATTGTAACTACCGTGACACCATTTCTCCCTTTGACGCATTACGTTTTCAGACCAATACGCTTTGAATCCTTGTCGGTCTAGGCTGGACACTGTACCACGGTTTTCATCGCGTTTGGAGTGCAGGCGGTTTCACAGATTAACAGGCAGATACAGGCTCGACAAAACGGAAACTGTTAGTTCTTGTACGTCATAGAAGAAAAAAAATCAAACCGCCATCAGTCACTCTGAAGGGCCGGCAGTTTTACTTACAAGCTTCAGAAGTTAGTCTTCAATAAGTAAAGAACAGACACAAATTCAGAAATAGCAGTTTAACTGCACAATATGCGTTTCCCCCTTCTTCAGAACCGTCTTAGTGCCAGTGAAACGGACACGGGAGTGAAGGTTAAGGTGGTATAAACATCATTCTGAACCAGTGGGAATCACAGGTCTGTCTGCAGCCCTGAGGAAGCTGTAAGGATTGCAATAGAATGATTAACAAGAAATTGCAAAACAAAGGGAATTTCACGGTGTCTAGCTGGAATAAATCTGTGCTATTAGCTGAATGAGAAAAACAGGCAAATAACACCGTTTCCCAATTTTACACAAACTCAAGTTGCAAATGCATGCAAAGCACTGACACTGCATGATGCCCTCACTACCTTTGTCCCTCGGGTATTCATGGTTTTCCCGCATAGACCGATGAAACACGGGTACAATACGCTTAAAACAGCATACCGCTTGTAATGGATGGTTGGGGTTAGAAAAAAACCACACCTGAGACCGCCTGCAGCTCTCGGGGGGGAGGACAGGACAGTGCTGGCCTGGGGGCGCTGCTCCACAAAGCTCTGTGACCGGCTGTGTGTTGGCGAGGCCTAAGGACAAGGACGAGAACATCAGCAGACGCCTTCCAGAGTGCGCGGTCTAGAATTCAGCTGCAACAAATAAATCCACAGAGAGAACAACACATCCGGGCTCCATACCTGCTGAGCCAGTTAATATCTATCCTTCAGTTTACAGCAGATGTGCAAAGTAATGGTTAAGGGTCTATTCTGGGGACACACTCACCTTTTCTGAACCTGTGAACAAGTTACTCGCTTTGTTCCAGCCGTCCATTTTCCAACTGCTTTATCATCAACAGGGCCATGGCCTATCCCGGCAAGCCATGGGCACGAGGCAGGATACCCCCTGGATGGGACGCCAGTCCATTTGCAGGGCAGACACACAAACTCACACCAGAGCCAATTATCTCAACCTACTGGTTCTGTATGTCTTTGGAGTATGGGAGGAAACCCGCTAACCACTGCACCAGTATGGTGCCCTCCTGATATTCCACTCCAGTTAAATCCTTCATTGTATAAACTAATAAATATCCAAATCAACTTGGCATCAGATGAATGAGTAAGGGTCTCAGTAAAAACTAGTCTTAGTAAGGACCCCTTTTACTGAAGTCAGTTACACCCCTACTAATTTAAAAGACCCGTGTTCAGTAATCTTATACTGACACTGGGTTATGCCTTTAACCAGCAAGATTACAGATCAGCATGTTAATGAGGTACCACACCTAAACCCTCTGCTAGCTTCAGTGAACAAGGCCCCCAGAGTTTGGTTCCTGAGGGGCAGACGGCCTCTAACTTGGACCCCAGGGTAAGAGAAGACTTGGCACATCCACAACTACCACTCGGTAAGAAAGAGAAGTCTCAGTCAGTAAACCTGCCTCGAGTGCTTGAGTGCTTCAGTTCTGGGTTTTACTGTGTCTAATGCAAGGACAAGGGCTGGACACTCACAGGTATGCCAGTAAAGGTGACCGGAGGAGACTGCCAGGAAATACTGAAGCTGCCGCTGCCATTTGGGGTGAAGTTGGTTGAACTCGGGATGTTAACAGGTGCAGTTGCCTGGGGGGGGGAGGGGGACAAAACAAAACGATTCAGATCCGTCCCGTGTGCGTGACAGAATGGTTTGCTCCAATTGCAAAACACAACTTGCTTCCTGCGGCTCCCGATTTTGGAGGACTAGCACTGCGCTGCTAGACCTGCTCTGATGAGTTCAATTTTCCTCTTCTCAACAAATTCTCCAGAGCAGGGCTTTCGAAACACGGCCCCCCACGCCCCCCCCCATACACACGCTCAAGCGCCACGGCGGGATCGCTTCAACAGGTCCGCCAGGCAGCACCCACCTGGTAGGCGTGGTCAGTGTGGACGAGGTAGAGGGTGCTGGGAGCCGAGCGGCTCAGGGGGGTGGCGAGCTTGCCTCCTTCGCCCCTGGCGCTGGCGGTCTCCGGGCGGCCCGGCTCGGGGGCGCCAGGGCGGGCGGCCGAGGGGGAAAGCACGGAGGGCGAGACGGGAGAGAGACTGCTCAGCCCCTCGGCCACGGAGTCCGTGTTGAGCTTGATCTCGGTGTAGTAGAAGTCCTCCTCACCGTCGCTGCACTCCGACTCACAGTTACGCCTGGGTGGGGTGGGGGGGAACAGGAGGCCTGGTTACGACACCCTGAGCACGGTGTGTGGAAATTAAAAAAAGGAGTTTGACTGTGAAGATACTTGGTTACAAGATCAGAAAGATGCAACCCTATGGAGCCCCAAGACCTTCACTAATCAACGAAGGCTCTCTTTGGGAGACCAGGCAGATCTCTACCAGATCCTAGATCGCATCACTAACGATTGTGGCTGAGATTCTCCAAGTGCCGATGTACACACTGGTTTAGACTGGCCAGGCAGGATCTTTTAAGCCTAATGGCAACTTGTCACTTGTCAAGCACCTACCAGGAAGAGACATTTACCTCCTCCAGTCATTTACTGGAATGTACTAAACGGCGATACGGACGTACAAGTAGGAGCTGGAGCACCACGATATCATCTCACACGCTCCAGAACGGGTACAGGACATGCTTTGGGGGTCTTAGGATAATTAGCAGTTCCAAAGTGGCAAGCCCCAGTTTTCTAAAGACCTCTTCTTCAAGACGTTGCACTCTTCAGAAGTACAGATGTTCTCTGACGAGTCGGAGTGACCCTTTTCTTAAGATGCCTTAAACAAGTCGATCACGGTGCAACACATACTAAAAACAGAAAAGTATATTGTGCTTTACGGATTCATTTTGTGGCCAACAAGTCTTGTCAATCTATATCAACTTTTTTTTAGCAGGGCTTGGTAGAAATCTTTCCACTGCAAGTCATTCAACGTGCACTTAAAGATATGGTAGATTATGATCTCCACAAGAAATGACAGCCTTCCAATTTCCAATTTCCAATCTAAGCAAACGGAGAAAGAAATACTACAAGGACAGAAAGACAACACTGAGGTTGGCCATCTTTGGTTTTTCAGTAGTTCTTAAGTAGGGAGCTAACTATCCCCCCCGCCAAGTTTGTTAGCAGAACTGTGGACAGGGAAGACTACGAAGTGCGTTAAACACTGATGTCTGAACGCTGAGCAGTGCTGGATAGCTATCTTACCCCAGATGTACAGTACGAATGTGTTTCTGAATCCCAGCTGCTGTGCTCAGAACCTTCCCACAGTTCTTCCACAAGCACTTGAACATCACCTTCATGGAGTTCTAAGGAAAACAAAAACAGGATTTTAAACCGAAGCCTCGATGCCCGAGTTTTTGGAGCTACCCACTTCTTACACCATTCTAATATTTGAATATTGTATGCATGGTCTGATCCCAAAACAAGCCTTTAAAAAGTCTCCTAATTGCAGCAACAGAGCAGGCCTTTGCTCAGTTTGCTGTGCCATAGGACAGATATAGGGTCAGCCAACAGAAGGAATAATACAGTAGATACACATTCATATGGTGTATCACTGAAGACTAATGCTACATGTCCCTTTTGTAATCACCACAAGAGGTGAATTTATATCCTATTGATGGGATTCTCTAGTATTTGACAGAGCAGTCCAAAGTATAGGTTTTTAATACGTTCTTTTAAAGTAGTAGTAAGTATTGTCTATTTGGGAACACAGAAATACAGTAAAAGCTGCCAAGGAAGTGTTAATCTGGTTAAAGACCTAGCAGGTATGATAGATTAATCTACTCATTTCAGATGGTCTGAATTTTAAAATCACCTTGAATAACTTATTCAGGTTGGTTGAGGGATGCACTTGTTACTAATTCAGTAAAAGTCTTCAGATGTGTTGAATAATTAACTGCACACATTTACTAGAAACACTTAAATCATATAGCTGTCCCCTTCCCCGTGTATCAAATATACAGATGTAGAAAAAAGTCTAGTTTCAATCACATAAAAAAATGGTCACAATATTCTATTAAGGACATAATGGAACTAGCCTTTTTCAGAAAGCCGTGCACTGTTTTGAGCAACTATTTCAAAAGCACAAGTACAAAGTCGGTACAAACGTAAATATAATAGTTTTTTTTTCTGCTTTGCTCTTCTGCAAGTGTTAAAAAGCATGCAACTTGTCCCCTAAATAAGGGTGAGATGCTGCCAAAACTGTTTTTGGCACAGGCAGTCCTGCATACTAGAAATACTCCATTTAAATCATAACAGTCACAAAACAGATCACGTCTAATTCTTCAGACACTGAACAGTCTGATTTCTTTGGCGCTCAAGTTCACAGAATATCCATCCTGAATGACCGCATTTGGGAAACTTGAATACACAGATGTATGTACACGTACAATGCTGTGTACCAAGGAACAACAACATCACCAAACGAACCCCAACTGTCTTTTCAGCCCCGCCGTCTACAAGTATGAAGCAGAGACAAATGCAAACTACATGGAAGTGCATTTAAAACCAAGAACAGGGGGAACTTTATGCAAAGGTTGTGGAGTATAGAACAAGCTACCCAGCCATCTTGTCGAAGCTACTACTGTAACTCAGGTCCAGGAAGGAATGTTCCAAATAAATTAGCCGACTACCTACCAACCTGGCAAGATTACACAGCCTGCAGCTAATCGGAGCCCCTTAGATCCAAGAAAGAAAAAACAGCCATCAGGGGCTAAACCTCGTCCACAAGTTCTTGCTTCTGCAAAGAAATGAATCTAATGAACCGCCCCCAAACCAGAAGACTGAGTGTGTGCCGAGAACCAGAGAGGTCGTAAAAGAACTATGCGGTGGTTTGAACCCTGAACACCAAAGAAAACATGGGGGCTTTCATAAGGCAATGGTGACAGTTCAGGAAGCAAGTCGTTTTTGTATGAATTATGGTCATCGCCACTCTTTGCACACAAACTGTAAATAAGCTCTCGGCAATGCAAATCATCTCGAAGAACATGAATATGCATCGTCTGCATTGTTAGACAACACAGGCATCTGAACAAACACCGACAAGGCTTCCACATGACCCTCTCTTTAGGACCAGCCGGCAATTACAGGAACATGTGAGCAGAGAAGTGCCCCCTGTGTATCAGATTACCGCTAGTGTTCTGCTAAGCAGATCTGATTTTAAGATTTTTCATTTGAGACATTAAATGCATTCATTTTAATGCCTTATTTCCTGTAAGCCTCAAAAAAAGTAAAAAAAAACCCCTGAATGAATTACTTTCAGAGACAGATGACTGTAAAGGAAGATGACAACAGGAAGGCTCAGCAAGCCCGATAACTCTGCTTGCTAGATGATGATAGGCTGAAGGAAACATTTATTCATACAGATACAGCCAAGACTGGTCAGATCAGCGATGCACAGGGCAAGTACAATCGACACGCGTCTTTGTTCTGCTTCCTGTAGGAGAGCAGAAGTGGAAGCTCCCATGGCATTTCAGCTTGTTTCCTTTTTGTCACCAAAAATAGCCGTTTCATAATAGGCAAGATTTTTTTTATGCGACTTAAAAAAATAGCACCATACTGTAGGTACTTCACAAGAATGGTTACAAATGCAAAGAGGTCATGTGGCCAGATCAAGCCTGTTTGGTTACCAGTAGGTTTTGAGATCCTTGCTTCTGTTAACTATCGGTTTCAACATGGCTGGGTAGTTTGCTCCAGTCCACCCCACTCTCTGGCAGGAAGAGGTTCCTGTTAAGAGTACATCATCAAGAAAACAAGCCACGGTTCGGGTACTAATGTAAATCCCTTTCACACTATTTGATTACCGGTTGGGTTTTATAAAATCAGTTCTTGAAGTAGGCTACCATTGCACATTCCCACATTCCAAATACCACGCAAGACATGCAAAAACACCACACAAACAGGGGTTGATGAATTGCGAAGATGGCAGCACAGCTGAACTCCACCAGAAACAAGATGTCTAAATGGCATTAATCAGTCTTGGTCATGAAGGGAAGACGGGTTTGCTTATAGTCTTTGCGTGAGACTACGGAGATGAACACCTACCAGGAGACCGTACCCCTTAAACTTTCTAGTGCCCGTAAGTGACTGTATCCTAACCTTTGCCTTCAGAGAGTGGAAGTCCATGTGGGTTCACGTCAGAAGGCACAACATTCATTAACACTTTGTAGCGAAAAGCGGATCATTTCCCAGAATAGAGCAACTGAACGCACTTGTACCTCCTGCCCCCAGCCCGGGCACGTCACTCTTCCTGTAAAAAGAAGCTCTTTTCACCTTCTCCATCTCTCCACTTTTTCCTCCTGCAGGACAGGAAGCTACAGCCGAGACGGATAGGTCTCTGTGGTTACACTGCGTAGACTATATAGAACATGAAAGCTTAAACCAGGTTTGC